CGAACCACAAAGCTTTTCTTTCTTTTTTCACCCCTCCTACTTCTACTACTTCTTTCTTTCTCTTGCTTTCTTTCTTTTTTTTTTTTTTTTTTTGTTTAATGGCAGCAGGGATGTGAGTTCAACTTTACTGCTTTCACCTCTGAAGCGCTCGTAAACACATTCGCACCTCTCTTTCATTTAAATGCGGGATAAGTTATAGCACATTATTGAAAAAAAAGAAGAAGAAGAAGAAGACGAAAAAACTCAAAGTCGACAACAGCCTGCATTTGAATGCTGTCTGGGGCCAATCCACAAACCAGGTGCAATTTAACAAGGGGCAGAGAGAGGAGCGGTTTCATCAGGACGAACGTGGAGTTTCGCTGTCAATAATAATAATAATAATAATAATAATAATAATAATAATAATAATAATAATGCGTAAAACATGCGTAAAAGTCGACCCTCTAACCAAAATATCCTTCACAATATTCTTCCCTCTCCAAAATATTCCCGACATTCCTAATCCAGATTTCCAAAACTCATTTAATCCTCTCCCCACACCTACAAATACCACATATAAACCACTCCAACACCTTCCTCTTGTTCTCTTTCTCTTTTACGCACGGCTTTGCCCACCGACGGGAGAGAGAAAAAAACCCTCTCCAGCCCCGATGGTCTCTCCACGATTACCCTATCAGGTGCAAACCGCTGACATGTTTCCACCCACCAACAACAAAAAAGCCTCTCTGTGCCCAAATCTCAAGTCACAGACGCACAAACACCACTGACAGGCACTGCTGCGCCATCATCAGCTCTCCCCCAAAACTGCCTCGCACCGCTGCCACTCGTACACTGATTTTCTCTGAGTTTTTTTTCTCCAGACTTGGATATTTTTGTACGCACTCGACTCATTTCTAGTGGTAGGACGTTTTTTCCTCATTCACCGCATTTTTTCTACTTTCCCTCTCCGTAGCACTTGGCAGAATAAAATGACCCGTGCAAGGTGTGCGAATCCCCCGCAGGTACGGACGGAGCTGAGGAGGTGCTGATCTCCGGAGCTGCGGGATTGTGTGAGATTGTGCCACAGTTCGACTTTTTAGAAACTCTTGAAGGATATCTTTTTTGGACGTGTTGTTTCTGCTGAGAGATCGATCTCTGAATCCGTTGGCACCGATTTACGGACACGGATTTTGGGGGAAGCGGTGGAGACTGATCAGAGAAAAATATTACTCCTGGATTATCCACGCCAGACGAGGAAACACCTAATGTTGCACTCCGTGACTCTGCAAGTGTTCTCCGGTGATTTATCTCTATACCGGGATTCAGTCTCGCTCCTACCGCCGGCGCTGTGTGCGTAAAGGACGCACAGGGAGCGAGAGGCTACACAGACACAGACACGCAGAGAGACAGGGACGGGGGTCGATTTGGCTCTAAATCTGTGGAGGCAGGTGTACTTCAGGTGTATCTTCTGCGAGTCAAGATGTCTCCTTTACCGTCGAGGTTCATATACCTGTAAGTGTCCCACGTCTGTGCTGCGCTTTTGCGCATTAAATCCATGCATTCTTACCAATAGAAGTCGCCAAAAGCTTCATATTTGCGCCTTGCTGTCAGTCAGGTACAGGCTGCGTTTATACTTCATGTAATTGCCTGTGTGATTCACTCCCCTCCTTTCCTTCTCTCCTCTTCTCTCCCCACTTAGGTGTTTACACTTTCTGGTACTCTATTTCCAGCTGCAGGTAGGTTTACTCCTTTATTTTTATTTTTTTTTAATTGTTTTGAATTTTATGCTCGTTTTGCATGTGCACCTTCTACGCAATAGTGTCAAGTGTTGCTTGACAACTGGAAACAAGCTTGTTTTAAATATTAATGGAAATCGGTGTGCAAGAAAGTCAAAACACACGTCTTTAAAACAGAAAATAAATAAATAACATTAGAAAATCCCAAACCTGGCTTTAACGACTGTAGATGTAGAGGAATAGTAACATGGAAACGCATAAAAACTAAATCGGTACAGATGGGGTTTTTTTTAATATAGTAAAGTTAGTTAGTTAAACATTGAATGACATCATGAAAAAAAGCTGTGCAAATCGCCAAATACGAAAAAAACTCTTCCAAATCATCTAAAACCGCAACCCAAAATAAAATGCACCGACATTAATTAACTAAAAAAAACACAGCAAGGTTGAGTATTTTATTGGAGACTTTTGCGATAGTTGTTTGGAGTTTATAAGGTCTTCCCTGTAGGGATTCTTTGGAGCGTGTTGCGTGGAATTTGTCTTTTTTTTCCTCCAGTGATTGACCTTTCCTCTGAGCTGTAATGATTCGCAGGCGGACGCTGATGCAGAGTGCGCTGCTCCAGAATATCTGCTGTGTTTAGTGGGATGACGTGTTAAAGCACAACATCCCACTTGCGGTTGATTTCACTTAATTTCTCAGCCACATTCTGATCCACGTAAGACTCAGACAGATAATAACCGGCTTTTATGTCATTAGGTAAACCAACACGTGTTGAATATCGGCTTTAATTTTATTATAAGAAATTTTTTTATTATAAGAAATTTTTTGTTTTTTACCTTTTCATTGTAAGGAAACCGTTGAGCGTTATTATGACGTAATACGAGATAATTCCGGGGATTTGTCGTCAAAATGTAATAGATAAACTTTAATCAACTCATACAACGTTATGTAAGTCTGTTTGCAATCTGAGGCCCAGAGCAAATATAAGAGGGTGTAAATGAAATCTTTAGATTTTTAGTTCAGTTGTCTATTGTGATTAATTAACAGTCGATTTAGAGATAAGGGTAATTATCAAACAAAATTAACAAGGTGTCAAAGACAGGAGTGTCCTTATTTGTTCAAGGGAGGCAAGTAAGATAACATAAAAATACCAGAGGACCAACTGCCCTGCACTCCTGATGGGGCAAAAATTAAGTAACATATAGCACCTATAAAAAAAAGTATTTTTTTACATCCAATATTTTACTTTGTTAAATTGTAATGAAATCCAAACCAATAGTTTGAGAGCTTTCTACAAAATAGCTCACCTTTTTGTAATGTAAGTTTTGTTATTGACTTCCTCAAATGATCCTTGAATATAACAAGAGAAACCCAAAATTAAAAATATCCATAATAATGTTAATGTAAAGCAATAAAATAATTAAAATTAATGATGATGACTCAACAAATAACTTAATTTTATGTCAAATATGTGGAAATGGGTAAAACCTCTGAATATGTAGGGGTTTCTCTAAAATATGGCCATAGCAAAGGAAATAAAGTCAAAATACAATTCATTTAAATTACAGGTAGTGTCAGAATTATTAATTTATCAAAAACAGGCCCAGAAATTGGGTGAAATAGCTTAAGTTAAAAATAAAACCAGAAAATTCAATTCAATATCTGCTAAAATGATCAACTGCACACTATGACGTCAGGTCTTAATATTATATCATAATAAATCAAAATACAAAGGAAATCACAGCCCACATTAAACCTGCAGCAGTGCCATAAAAGCCCCCCGGTACCGGATTTTGGACACAGCTTTGATTAGATTCAGACAGTCACCAAAGAAGAAAAAGAAAAAAGATCTGTATTGTCATATCAGATTTTCTCCTTGTGTTCATTTGACTCTTAATGTCTCTGCGGTTGTGATTTTACACCTGAAACAAAAGAGAAAACCGCAGATTTGAGTCAACTTTGAAGACACTGCCAACACAAGCGTCTGTCCTCATTGGTGTGTTTGTCTGACCCTGTCTGAGTGTGCGTTTTAGTGTGTGGAGATAAAAAAGGTGTATCACTGATGGAGGCGACAACTAGGCTTCCTCAGCCCAAGAAGAGCACAAGATCTTTTTGAAGTTTCAGCCGTATCCGTTTTCATGCTATTTCTTTGAAGAAAGGAGACGGCGTGATAAAAAAAAAAAGAAAACTTGTTGCTAGTGCTCACCTCAACCATGTGCTTAGGCTTGCCTTTCCCCTCTGCTGCAGCGAATCGCAACTGTCTACCAAACACACTTTTATGTTTGTTTAGAGATGGTGAGATTTAGGATATATCCCTCAGCGTTACCCTGTTGTTGCTGCGTCTGCATGTAAGGTTCATTTTTCCACATTAATGCTCACTTTCAAACAAGTGTTTGGTGTTTTTTTTTTTGGGGGGGGGGGTCTGAAGTTTTTTTGAAGTGCATCTTCATGACATCTTGCTGCCTGTTGTAGCTGTCCATCACAGCTGCATTTACGCAGAATAATAGTTGGGCTTTTAGAACCAGGAACTACCTGAAGAAACAACATGGCTCCTGCCTTCAGCTGCTGCTTCTCTCACTGCCGCTCACATTCCCTTGAAAATTATGCAAATTTAAACCATCACCATCCGCACAAATGTACAAAGGACAGTTCACCTTCTAGCCAGAAGGTGTCAGTACTAACAAAAACAGTGAGGTTTCCTTGTAACAAAGAAGTGTTTTCTGGCTCCAAATAAGGTGACAACCTTTGTTGTCTGTGGAAGAGTGAATCAACACAGTCATCTTCCAACCAGAAGGTCAGGCATTTGATTTCAACAGTGCCCTTACTGTGTAGTTGGAGAGTATTTATTAGGAATAGAATCAGGTGTGAAAAGATATAAAACTCTATAACAAGTGCAGCTGAAGTGAGTCAGTGTCTGCTGTCAAACTGTGTTGCCTGAATCGAGTGAGTTACCCCTCGAAAGTGGAGTTGTAGTGGAGGATAGTTAACACTGATGTGATTTGTTGGCTAAAGAGTTTCAAAAAGAGTTGCAGATTTCACTTCTGCTCTCATTTTCTGCCCGTTCTCCTATCAAAAGTAACACCTTGGGCCAAGTGCTCTGCGTAAACATGTCAAAAAGTTGGCCGTTACTGTCAGAATTGTTTGTTTTTTTTTAGAACTAAACTATCATGTTTAAAGGAAAACCAGAGTTCATTGGGGGGCAGCTTGACTCAGGGGGCATTTAATTGCAGCCTCCACCTGTCTACATGCTGCTGTCTCTCTGGCGGAGACACTTCACCCCAGTGTTGCTCCTGGAGTGTTTTCCAGCAGTGTGGGAATGGGGAAAGAAAGATCTGTAATAGAAAGATTCCTGCAAAATAATGTGTAGTATGAGTGAAAGGGTGTGAACGGCTGAATGGGATGGAGTGTAAAATGCTTTAAAGGTCTCATCAAGGCTATAAAAGTGCTACATGGGAACGGACCATTTACAATTTCACAGGTCGGAGCCCCGTGCCCCTCCACCCCCTCCTACAGTTGCAACACAGAATGAACAGCACCTGGTTCAGGGACGCCACGTTATAGAAGCTTTTACAGTTTTTTGCTAAAGTTTATTTTTCCCTCATTGACTTCCAGCTTCATTCTTCTGCTGCCACCATTTCCCACCGTGTTTGCTACATGTCATTAATTTAGTGAAGTTAGAATAACATGAACCTGGGGTATGTAATGTGTATATAATTAGCCACCTGAGAACAGCCACATAAAAAGCCATTACTGTGCAATTACCACACCATACAGCTGGGGAAACGGGCTCTTGGCGTTAAAGTGAGATTCCAGGGCTTCTGAAAGTATACGTTTCCGCTCTCGCTACTCCACATGTCGGGTGACACGCTCGCCTTCATGACACGCAGGTCAACGCCGCCATTTCAAACTGTCAAGGCCAAAGTGAGGCGTAGAAATTAGGTGGGTGGTTCGTGAAAAGTCGATTGTTTTTCGATTCAGTTACTCAACAGGTTCGAGGTGTTTTTGTGAATTGGACGTGCCTTTTCACATCTCTGCCCGTCTTCCGATTGCTGTGTTTCCTAATTTATGGACGCTGAATTGCCTGCAGGCAGATATTTGTTTGATGATAGTGCAACAGGTCTGGGTGCTTCGGGTGTATAATTGCTAGTGGCTGGCTTGCTTGTGGAAATGGAGTACAGGTTTTTCAGCTTGGCCTCGGGCATGGTTTACTGCTCTGCAAATAAAGACCAACAAAGTCTGTTGGATTTACAGTCAAAGACTGACTTCATTAGGAAATCTACAGGATTGATAGGAGCTTGTAAAGGCAGCAGGTACGAAATGTGCCCAGAGAAGGCAAACTGAAATGCCACAGCCTCTATTTCCTGGTTGTTATCTTGAATGTCACGCCCTGAAGCAATATTCCTTTTTTTTGACACAGTCCATTAAACAACAGCACACATCACAATCCACACCTGTGTTTTGACAATCCCTCTCTCTCTCTTCTCTCTCCCTCTTTCCATCTCCCGTCTTCAAACAACCCTGCAGGAATCTCAGCAGACTTCTGCAGATTTCAGGATTTACATCGAGAACCACACGCGGAATCCCGACGACGTGAGCCGGAAGCAGGTTCGGATCTACCAGCTCTACAGCAGAACCACCGGGAAGCACGTGCAAATCCTGGGGAAGAAGATCAACGCCAATGGAGATGATGGGGGCAAGTATGGTATGGGAGAACTCCAGTGCATCTCACTGACATTTTAGCTCAGTCTGCAGGAGAGCAGGATGAGATACTGTCAACAAGTAGCAGCTTAGACACGGAGCTGCTGTAGCTTGGATTAAACCAGACCTCTCCAAACTACAGGAGGGATTGCACTGAAAGCCTTTAGTCCTGCTGACCTTTGGTCATGATTTTGGGTAACCAGAGCAACTATAGATATTTGATGCTGATTAACTGAGGACAGAAATGTGCACCTTCTGTTCAAGCAGTAGAATCTCTGGTTTGTTTTTTTAGCTTGTGTATGATGTAACTCTGTGGTGTTGCTCAACAATATTGTCCTTTAAAATAGAACAGTGAATGTTCATGTTGGAAATCTGGAGTAGAGAGTGACATTCAGATGTCAGAAAATTAAATACTAATCAAAACTTTCCCACAGTTCAGACATGTTTGCCTTTATTTGTCTAGAAGCACTTTTTCAGCCTGCAGCATAGCAACAAACTAGCTTCTGGATACATGTCTACTGATGTTAGTAAGATACAGTACTGGGCCAGAGTGATGTGTTTTAGGACCTACTTATAGTATTTTAGTACAAATACTTCTTTGGAGTTGCACTTATTGAATTAGGATGACGGTTTTACTTGGCTGCTAACTGCAAAACAATGAATTTGGCTTGCAATGCATTGGTGCTGTGCCCTCTGCTGGAGCATTCAGTAATTACTTAAGATAGCCTGGACCACGTTTTTGAAGCATAAACCTTGGCTTTGTTTAAAAATAATCTACTACCGCGTTTTTATGGTGTTGTTAATCAGCGATACCAAAGTTTAGTTGCCGACAGCAGCTTTAATCTTGGACACCGATAATTATAAAGGTTTGATGGACCTGCTCACCGTGATCTGTGAAAACCAACTCAGCCAATGGGATAAATTACCACCTGACTGGGCGCCCTTTGATTGAGTGGCGCTAACATGAGGCAGAAGGTCCAATGTTGTACTTAGCTTCAGATATTTCACCGTAACAGCTGACTCACGGCTCTGAAATTGCAGGTCTCCAGTGCCTCTCGGAGTGAGTGAGTGTGTGTTCAGTCACAGATGCGGCGAAAGGCAAAGTTTCCTCAACTGCTTGTTAGAGCTTGAGTGGAAGCAGATCCAATTTTTCCCATGAGGCCTTGCCAATTCCACCCTCCGCCTCTTTTACCCTTCTCCCCCTCTCCCCCTCCTCCCCCTCCTCCTCCTGATCCTACTCCTCCCAGTCCAGCTGCAGTACCTGGCACCTGTGAACTTCTTTGCACTAGCTATTAGCGTACAGAGGAAGATTCTCTTTACTCTAATCCACCTTTAGTCACAGAACCACGGAGGAAATACATCACCTCAGGTCTGTGTCTGTTCAGCTAAAGTGGGGGAGGAGGGGGGAGGTTATAATTCCTTTTAGGTGTTCCTGCAGCATATTTGTTATTTTCAAAAGACAAGAATTATCTTTTTCCAGAACAATCCGTTGCAACTGACCTCTCTCAGAGCAGATCTCGGGTCATTCTTCGAAAGCTTTTAAAGCGATAAAAGTGCTAATGTGGCATTAGCGCAGCAGTAGTTTTGGACGTTTGTCTACAGGTGAGCCCCACACTGAGGTCAACAAATGGGTGCTTATTGTTCATATGGCACTGACGCACAGAAAGAAAAAAACATTGCTCAGGAGCAAGAGAAGAAACAGAGCAGTTCATGCGTCATCGCTCACAGTCAGACCTCAACGTACAGCAAATATCTGCGAGGTCGAAAAAAGATCCCACGATTTTTAATTTTCCCTGTTTTATATACCAACTCTGGCCACCTGTGGAGCCTGCGTCACTGTCGAACATACCCACCGTACCCACGGCTAATACACACAATATGTCAGCGGCCGCTCGCAGATGCACATATAGCTCCACCACATTCTGTTCCCATTAAATGAATTCAGTCTCTTCTTTCTTCAGACATTTTTAGTTATTTTGTCATCATGGCGTCGCGGCCGCAGGGATCCCTGCCTCTGGGAGGTCATTGAACCGCCTTTCTTGTACATTTACACGCTGTGGATTATATGGATTATGGTTCTGAAGTGCTTACACTGCAAATAAAGTCAATGCCACTTGTTAGTGGTACTGATGACAGTGCGATTCCCCTGGACTGTTTGTGTTTCCCTGCAACCATGAAGCTTTTAATGGAGTTTGTCGGAGCCCTCAGCTGCCATGATGCTTATTTTCAAAAATTAGTAGTTTACTCTGAGTCCATGAGAAGAAGTCAGGGTTTGGCCTGCGTCTGAGGAACAATACAGTAGAGTGGAGAAGAGAAATATTGTTTTATCTGATGTTCTGGGTTGGTTCCTCATACCTGAGGTTGAATTTTTGGGTCCTGCTCACAGCGAGAACGCCAGTGTTGTCGTCACACAGCACTGATTTGCCTCGCAGAGTGGGAGTATTCTCAGAAGCTTCATTCACACACTCCTAATGCACAAACCAGATATTTTTCCCTTTCTTACTGAGTCAAATATCAGAGTCAGAAATGTACAGCGGACATAAAAACTTAACACCGTCCTTTTAAAATGCCAGGGTTTTCAGCGTCAAACAATGACAGTATTGTATATTTGATGTCAGAACCTTTTTTTTCTATCATTAACAAGATATATGATCTGCATATTCCAATTTAAATAATGGAAAAACTATTAGGGGAAAAGTTAAAACAGCAAAAATAAAAAGTGTGGCCCTGTAAGTATACATATCCTTTTGGAAGTCATGTTCAAACCAATGATAAATACCAGTCACTACACATGGGATGTCAATTAAAAAAGACAAACCTTAGATAAGGTTCAGCCGTCGTAGTAAAATGTTGTTGCCCAGCTGAGTATCGCAAAACATATTCTGTTTCCCTGAAACAACAACGAAATACTCTGAATCAGAGTACTTTTTTATGCTTTGGGACTGTTTCTACAGAAGCATGTGTCATGTTTTAGATGGAATTATGACTAAATATTATTAACCAGGACTTGTTTTGACTGGTTCAGACTGGTTCTGATCAGAAACCAGTTAAAAAACAAGACCTCGATCTTTTGAAAATCTGGGGTTTGACCTAAAAAGGACTGCGCAAAGGAGACGCTCACATAATCTGACAACTTTCTTCTTCTCCGTTTATATATTCGTTATACACAGGCTGTAGTTGTCATTAAAGAAATATAAAAATATAAATTGTTAAATAACTCATATTTAACAAAAAGGCAGTGTTTCCTGTTTAAAGCTGCTGTGATTTATTCACCTACAGTGACCACCTCGTCCCCCTTTCCCTGTTATCACCTCTACGGCAGGTTTCCTTCTCCACACTTTCCCCCCAAAGGTTGGATTTTAAGGGATGGGGGCAGGAGAGGAGTTACTTCTGCCCCCAAGCCCGTCCCGTCCTCTTCGTCTATTCTTCCTCTCCTCCCTTGAGTGCCGCTGAATGGCCCTGTGTGTTAAACAAATGGATCATCTTAACTTTTTGATTGAGTGAGCACAGACTAAAGGGAACTTGAAACCTAATCCTGAGGGGCACATAACCGCTCCACAAATGTTTGGCAGATCTCTTTGCCGGTCGAGGGGGCGAGCAGAGACAAAGGTGACCTCGCGGGGGGTTCACATACGGGCTGAGAGAGGTTGAGGAGGATCGGGAAAAATAAAAGAAGCCGCCAGGACGCGTCTTTAGAGTGGATTATCCCTGTGTCAGGGTGAAGTGATGACAGCGTTGTTGGTTTAGTGTTAAAGGATGCTCAGTTGATAATCCACATCCATTATTTGCTCTGGGGACCCCTGATTCTAGCCCTAATGTCAGTTTTCCCTTAATGAGATTCATTATATCTTATAATTATTGTTATCAATTAATATAATGGGGAATTAATTTAGAATGTCCTACTGTGTTTTTTTTTTTTGGTCCAGTTTAATTTGAGTTATATTATTTAGACCTAATTAGTCTGTGGATTAAACTGACAGCAGTTTCTCTCCTTGTCCATGCAGCTCTCCTGGTGGTGGAGACGGAAACATTCGGGAGCCACATTCGAATAAAAGGAAAAGAGAGTGATCACTACATCTGCATGAACGAAAAAGGCAAAATAGTGGGAAGGGTAAGAACTCTTTCTTTTATCTCTATTTTGTTTTTTTGTTTTTTTGTGCAGGGATGTCCAAAGTCAGGTTCCAGGGTCCATAAGAAAGTCTTATTAAGTTTTTTGACCATCTGGAAAACATTGCAATTTAGCTAAATGCTACGAATTTTGCTAAATCTAGACTAAATTCCAAGTCAAAAATATCAGATGACTTTTATTCTTTTGATGTTATTAAACATTTTTTTAATGTAAAATTACCAGATTCATTACTTTTTGTACCATCTGACATAAAATATGTTGGAAAAGTTGCCTGCACCAAACAGACTGTGACAGTTGCTAATGTCAAACCTTGAAAATACTTGGCGTTGCATCCCCGTAACAAAGTTTAATATCGTCAGTGATGGGATTGAGTTGCTTATGTTTAGGATGAACATTTTAAGTGAACACTCTTAATCCGCTCTGAATTGAACGCAGCTTCAGATCTGCTTTCTCCTGCTGTTTTTTCTACACCCTAACAAAACCCCTTTGATAAGTCCCAGCCATTCTTCCATTACGTAATCGGCCTACTCCTTTGACACTCGATCAGTCAATTACGGACTGCAATCACCACAATGCATTGAGAGACTAATGGTCACTTAGGAGGAATGCCATTGCAATTATGTCACTTAGTCACACCAGGTGGCCACAAGAGCAGTGCATGACTGCATTTGGATGACCGCTAAGACACGGAATCAAAGTTGAAATGTGGAAACGAATGTTGTCGTTTCCGAGCCGCGCACGTGATTTGATTGTGTTAATAAGTCATGATGTCAGCGGGCAGTGAGTTGTTGTAGCACAAGTTTTCTGTCTCTCTCATCATGGTAATTTGTCAGAAAAGTCTGGTTAATACTTGCAAAGTTAAATTTGTAAAAAAAATATTCAATCACTTCCTCCTTAAACCGTTGTTGATTGACTGACGACTAAAGTTAGTTATTTATTATTTACCTGTTCAAATCACTGCCTTCAGTGTTGTTAATCGTTTTTCTTTTCATTCTTGATAATCTCAGAATAATCTCAGAATAAACCAAAACTTAAAAAATAAAGTGCAAAAACTGTTACAAACAGAGGAAAGGAACCAGTCCGAATCATTTCTATTCATGACATTACTAGTAATAATCTGTGGTCATCAAATCTGATGTCATCGTGATAAATCGAGTACATAATGATGTCAAGAAACAGCTGAAAAAACATGAACTCTCCCACACCTGATTCACGTTTGATTCATCTGGTAACAACGACTGTTTCCTGCGACTGACTTCTGTCAAAAGATTTCCAATTAATTTGGTCATTGTCTATAAATGTTCAAGTACCAAAAAAAACCTCTCATGTCGTCTTTTTGGTAATGAATTAAAATCCTGTTTCCTTTTTTCCCCACAGCCTGATGGGAGGAAACAGGAGTGTGTGTTTGTGGAAGAATTCCTGGAGAACAACTACACAGCTCTGGTCTCGGCCAAGTACAAAGGATGGTACCTGGGCTTCAACAGGAAGGGGCGACCCAAGAAAGGCTCTCGGACCACACAGAGGCAACAGGAAGTCCACTTCATGAAGCGGCAGCCGAAAGGCCAGGTGGCTCCGCTTGAGGAGTTTCGTTTCACCACTGTAACTAAGCGGACACGAAGGGCTCGGCGGTTAAAACCCAACCCCAAGAGGAACTGATGGGACCGATGGGACAGCACTAATTTTACTCAAACGGGTGGGGTTGGGAAGTCTGGAGAGGGTGGGAGTCCTGGTGAGGAGGAGAAGGTCAGACTGAAACTGAAAAAAAAAAAAAAAATCTCAAGCTTCTTGGTTTCCGTAAAAAGAAAGACAGACAGAAAGAAAGAAAGAACAAAAAAAAGTCAAAGATGTTTTATTTTTGTATTTCAGGTTGACTGAATATTTCCTAACTCTTGGATTCTTCTGGGTTGATGTCATTGTGCTAACGTTGTCCGTCTGTCATGTTATTTATACTGGATAAACTAAAGGACTTGTGGGAGACTTTCCCCTGGCCGTCGTCGTCCTCAGCTCGGCTCCGTGAACTGCAAAGCTGAAGGCGTACTTTCTGTTTTTTGACAATGGGGACAGAAGCGGGAGCTGACGCAATGTTATAAAAATCAGCCAACTAGAGATTTATTGGAATACCTGTCGGTTTTTGTTTGTGTAGCCCCTGACAACACGGATCCCATACTTTCCACTGGAATCAGACACCATGGAGATAAAACAGAGAGAGAGGTGGCAGTCGCAGGTGACACTGCACTGCTGTGATCACTGTGTAGCTTTTAGTGCAATATTTTACAGGTCTCTCTCTTTCTCTACTCCCTTCCTTCTTCTCCCCCTCCACACACACACACACACACACACACACACACACACGTCTCTCAACCCCAGCTTCATCCGTGGCTCCTGGAATGCACCGAACCCTGCGATTTCCTCACCATCCTTGTGATACAGCTGAAACATGACATGCTTTGACCTGTCAGGCACCAGCCTTTAGTGGCTTTAGTGTTCTGTCACAATCAGGAGAAAGGTGTTAATCCCCTGGGTTTTCCCCCTCAGGCTACATCCATAATGCATCGTTTTCTTTTTTTTTTTGTTCAAAAATGGCCGTTTCAAAGGGAAATGATCTGTGTCCAGGCCGCTGTTTTGGCTGCGTGTAGGGCTCAACACGTCACCACACACTCATTGTTTAAATAAGATCTACACTTGTAAGCTCTTGCAGCTTTTTTGCCAGACTGACTTTTGAAGAGCAGTTGCTAACAAAGACAGCAGAGTCCTCTAAGGTTACAGTTTTTAGCTTTAGAAAAGTATGTTTTAGTGGCTACGCGGAGCTTCAAACATGGGTTTTTAAAGATATTGGACAGTTGTCGGTTAAATTATTCAACCTGGAAATGAAAGTATTTTAGGTGTAAGTTTCAGAAGTCAGGTCTTGATCTGTGGCGTGAGCCTGACCAGTCAGTGAACATAGATATTTATTATGTGGTTCATAATAAATGAAATCAGGAAGTAAATATTAACAAATGCATTGGTGTCTATTTAAAAATGCAGCTCTAACGTTTGTGGTCAAAACAGAGCCAGCTATAATTCTGTTTTTAAAACTACTACTACGTCTGGATCTACAACCGTTCCAGAATTCATAGGCAGAACATGTGCTGCGTGGATGTAGCCTCACCTCCTCACTCACCTCCCATCCCAGCTCTTTATTAACAGTACTCCCAGAAAGAACGTCTTAAATCTGTTCACTGTGTCTTACTTTGGGGTTGACGATGAAGACTTCCTCTACCTCCTTGTTCTTTGACATTTTTTTCTTTACCCAGAGTGACCATGTGTGTGTGCGTGTGTGTGAGCGAGAGTGAGTGTGTGTGTGTGTGTGTGTTCACTCTGACCTAGAACTGGGCTCTTAATGTGTTCTTTCTCTCCAAAACTCATAAATCGAACCTCCTACTGTGAGCTCATCTTCACTCCTCTAACCGCTGGTGCTCATCCATCAACTTGGTTCACTTCAAAAAATCCACCTGACTATTAAGACTTTCCCCAATCACCGACAGGTCCAAGAATCCAGGGAGACTCTCTGAAACCTGAAGGGAAAGCTCTTTTCATCTGTCCTTCCGTTCTCTCTCCTTCCATTTCCACCTCTGAACTGTCTTTTCCTTCTTCTCCACCAGTAGTGTGTTCTCACCTGTTTGACAACAGGACGTTTTTTGGTTTTTTTTTGCTACTAACAACATGTCACATTTACGATTTCTTTTTTTAAGAAAAAAACAAATGTAAGCAAAAAATAATTTTATGACTATTATTAAGATATTTATTGCCTCCCTTTGTAAATAAAATGTGATGAGTTTTATTTGGCCTCTGTTAATAAAAATGAGGACTATATTTTAAAAATGTGAAACAATTCTTTCCGGTCACTAATTTGTTGTGTGTCACGCTGGAATTAAGTTGTCGGAGCTGCTGTTTTCGGTCGGTTTTCACTCACTCTGAAACATTGATTCTGTCAAAGATGTAGCTGTTAGGATTTAAAAACAATTGAGTTCTACAGGTTAGGCTGAAAATACGGCCTATTGTTTTGGTAATGGAAACTGTTAGCCAAATACATTCATTCAAGATGCAAAAACAAAAATAATTGCTAGTAGGTAAGTTAATTGCTCTGCAAAATTATAAGGAAGTGCCACTTTGGGTCCCAGAGCCAACGTTTGGACCAACCTGTTGTTTTTTTTGTATTTGTGTATGAGACTGGCAGATGATGATAGCGAAAGTCCCGTTGTCTAAAAGAGAAATGCTCGCAGGTAGTGAAGGGTCGGACATTGCAAACATTCCCTTCTCTGCCATGGTATGCATGTTTGTATACAGTGTGAGGACTCCTGCTGATGCCAGTTGTTTTTTTTTAAAGTGAGATATTCAACATATCTAAAGGCCTTTTATAAACTCGCCCAGAAGGGCAGAAGGTTCACAATCAGTGAAGAACACATTTATGAGGACTGTTTATGTTGCATTTGCAGTTAATCATGGAGCTTGGAAAAGTCTTACAGGAAAGTTGACTTGTTGATAAAGAGCAATGAATTGTTGAGTGAGAACAACACGCCTGTTGATAAAAGTCATCGCTGTCAAGATTTTAAACAAGGGCTGGATTTGAAAACACTTTAAAAAGTTAGTCCAGAAATCACCTAAAGTTAGAAAATAATAAAGTCTATACACAGTAGCACAGCTAACTCCAGTAAGCTAACTGGCTTAAAACGTCCAAACAACAAGACTAAAAAAAGCAAAATGTAAGACAAGCAGCTGTGATCTTAGCTTCGCGCAACAAAATATTGATATTATTTGAAAACGATTTTGGCCATATAAAGCCTTTTCACGTTCCTTTGATCAGCCCCTGGACCAGATTTTGGACATGCCTGATGCTTAGTTGTCCCGGAGCAGCAAACAGGGAATGTTGTCAACATGTCTCTATCTTTTAAAAGCAGCAGTGGAATGTGGAGTAGCATGTCTTATAATGCTGCACAGTGGAATGATGTTTACAGTAACCGTCAGACTGAAAGATGGCGGCTCTGAGGTAGAGAAAAAAAAACACTTGTTTAAATTCCATGCAATGCTATCAGCAGCCCCCATCCCCTGCCCACCCACTCCATTTCCCCATCTTCCCTTACTCGTCTCTCACTCCACTGCGGGAGTTCTACCTCGAGCAGCAGATCCACAGGTCCTCTGCTCAGTCATGGGATTTTAAATGTCTGGCCGGCTTTTAGAGGTGGAAACACGGTGCTTAATGTGTGACCCAGTAATTTCGCTTTAACATCATAGATCAGAGCTGAAGATCCCACTTGTCTGGGAACAAGACAGCGAGGTGGGGAGGGGGAGCAGTGAGGTGGATACCCTGTGGGATTTCTATGTTTTATGATCCTTCACGATGTCTGCATCTCTTTCTGTCTCTGTAGAAAGTCGATATCATGACGTTATCCCTGCTACAAGCTGCCACCACAAACAAAGTCCTCAACCATCAACTATACAGTATAAGTCGTCAATATCATTGTCTGACATTTCAAGGACTTACAAATAAACTAATCTAATAGTTGCATTTAATCAGTAAATCTAATAGTTGCATTTAATTTATTTATTTATCATGCTACCACTAAGTGGTAGCACGATAAATAAAAAACCAGCACAAGAGACACTTTGGAGAAACCACAGAATTGCTTGAAATGAAAGATATATAAATCTGTAAATCAAACATTTTGCTATAGAGGTAAACCAAGAAATAGCACAAAAAATAAATACAAAATTGCTATATGATTACAAAAATTTAGGTCACCTACCATAAGCCATAATGTATCAAATGGGTATCAAAAATTAGCTCAAAAGTATGAAATATTGGAAACAACTCAAATTTGGCAGTATTTACATTGCACTACGTTAAAGAACGAAGTTAGCCACAATGTGAAACTTCAGAAAAACAAAAAACAAATGAAACAAGTGATAATGTGAAAATACAGCCAAAATTTGACAAACAAATATTCAGTACAAAATTGTTCTACGTAAACCAGAAGTAGTTAAAAATAAAAAATAAAAAAATGCCCTTAAGTGAACAATGACATCGACCTGAATCAAAGCTACGTAGTGCTATAGTTGGCTGTTGTTCTTGTCAGAACTTTAGTGACGGGTGAGTTAACCACTAATAAATTATTAATCACTAGTCGTTCCTTAGTGTTGGAATAAAACCAACAAGCAAGAGTCAAGGAATTTAATCAATGCGACCTTCGTAACCTTCCCAATTCTATTTATAAGAAAAAGCACTTTCTCTCTCTTTTTTTCTCTCTGCATACTTCAAACTTGACCAAGCACAGCCACACTGCATCTGTTATATTGACATTTAAACAAGCACCAATGGTTTCCAACGTGTCGGGCCATTGGCAATAAGGAGACGACATTTTTGCATAAGCCTCCCGCCAGGCTTTTCTCTGACTGGACCTTTGATCAGTGGAGGCTGGATGCTCTTGGAACTGGACCAATAACTTCCAAATGAAACATAGAATTCCCTTTTTTCTCAGAGCCCAACCCCCTTTTTTTCTTCCACAAAAGAGGTGGAATCTCTAAATGCAGTCCTGCTCGCCAAGTAGTTGATATTCTATTATTAGAAAATCCCAGCACGTTCAAACACTGCACAATGGATACAGTTATGAAGAGTGAGCTCTGTCAAAGCACACACACACACACAGAGAGAGAGAGAGAGAGTTTAAAAAAAGAAGAAAAAAATACGCGGTTTCGAATAAGTTATACACATTTCAGTGGAAGACCCCAAAGTGGTTCCCTGGCCTTGAGATCAGCAACCACACACTTAACAATT